AAAGGTGACGCACAGGTTGCTGTGCACATTTATTCGGGTGTGTCTCATCCTTTCGCTGGCGCCGGCGGACGTCTGGGCGATGAGGTCGGTGCTTCTGGTGACGGCGCTGGTGTCGGCGCTGTCAACCGCTCGCACAGAGGAGCTCAACGCTCACGGTCGCGGCCATATGGTGAGTCTCCTCATTTCCTAATATCAATATATCAAAAAACTAGCACCCCCACTTAAAAGAAACGTAAAAATGCTTCCGGCATAATTTCGTGCTCTTCAGTAACACCAAAAACATTATTTTTGGTACCCCACAAGCCCCTTAAATTAAGGTTTCAATAATGAGGGTGGTAAAGTTAGCACCCTCTCTTACTCGAAATCAAAATATTTGCACGGTAGAAACAATTGAATTTTGATCTTCTGAGTCCCGCTTTTCAAAATTTCGCACCTCACTCCTACATGAGTGTTAAAAATGAGTACTAAAAAGAGTCCATTTTTTTATTGCAACATTAATATTTGTATTGTTATAAACATTACGCTACATGACTTTCGTTTCCAGCATTCCAATGTTATATAAAACAGAGGAAAAAATTAGGACAATGCCCAAAAATAATTTTGGGCTTCTCTCCATTCTATCCAAAAATGGAAATTTGTCGAGCGCACTATATTAGACCTTCTGACCACTTCTTCATTCCTTTGTAAATAATCTCTTAGATACGAAAATAATAGAAATAAGGATGGTGCGCGGTTATGGTACACAATCAGACAAATTAAAGGCGATTCTCAAGTCATTTTGGGCTAGTCTCTATCTCATTAAGAATATTACTAGTCAAAACAGCTCCAATTTTTTATGATCTTCAATAGTTGCTTTGTTATAAAACCTAAACTACGATAAAAGCGATGCTCCCCCCGGCTGGTGAGAGAGCGGGACAGTAAAAAGAGCAAGGAGGAAAGACAACTGAGGGGGAGGGAAGAAGGAAACTGAATTTGAGGAGTGGGGAAGGACAAGAGAATGGCGAGGAAGGAGAAGAGCAGAGCGGGGAACTAGGAGAGGGGAGGCGGGAATGCGCAGTGTCGCCAGAGGAGAGCGGAGCGGCGCAAGGAACGAGATGAGTGTTGGACCTTCGCCGAGCGGAGTGCGATCTGTGTGCGTAGGCGGCCGCGGGCCAAGCGGCCTTCCTGGCGACGTTGCCTCCTCCGGTGCCGCCGCACCCGAATGCGTTGCGGTGGGCGCGTGCGGCGGGCGGCCCGCTCCTCGTCGTGGACCTGGGCGCGGGCGAGGGCGAGGGCGAGGAGAAAGGCGTGAGCGTGGGCGTGGGCGAGCGCTGGCTGCAGGCGCTGCACCCACGCGCCAAGGAAGCCCTCCTGGTGTGGCGCGCACCGCCCAGCCCCGCCCCCCACTCCGCGCCCGACTGGCTCACCGCCGCCCACGGCTACGTCATCGCCGCCCGACGCGCCGCGCGGGTCGAGGAATTCCTCATAGATGACTTAATAGAACCAGATATCATCACAACGGTGTGTGTGCCTTAGTTTCATTTTGTTTTAAAATAAATGAACGAATTATATTAGTTTCTTGGTTTATCGATGTGTCCCTTATTGCACACTCTGGGCCTAGAGCCGGGTATATTTTACATTTTATATTTCATAATTATATTATATATTGCATAATATTACATTATTTTATATTGCATTACATAATTATTACGTCGCACCACTTCTCAGACGAGGTTTGACGGAACCTCTGCTTCTCTCGCCTGCCAGGCAGCGGCTGCCTCACTCGGAATCCCTAAAGTTTCGGAGAGTCCTTCTAGTTTTATAAATGTGGTAGGTGATAGCTTGAAACTACGTGCGGAATACAATTATTTAGTTCTATCAATGAAGTCATTCTAAAGGGAATTCAGGTGGATAATTTCCAGGATTATCTTTCTCGTGTTTACTCGTCTCGCAACGTGTTTACGGAAAACGCGTGCGGGTCTAGCCACGTCGTAGATATAGGTCCGGGCGAACGTAGTTCTCACTAATGGCTACAGGTTGGCCCCTTAGAGGCTCGAAGACGGTGGATACGTCGTTTCTGTAACGAGGTTTCCTAAAAGATAAGTAAACAGCAGCGGGCGGAGAGATTTCAACACAAAGGAAGGGTCGCAGCGGTGCGTAGCGAATCGGAAGAGGTAGGCGCGTGCGCGACGGAGAGTCCCGGCACGAGAAGGACGCATGAGAGAGAGCTCTGAGGCAGGCTACTATTGGAAAACTATTGAAACTAATATTTTTTAATGATAATGTATTCGGTAACGCCACATTATTTAATATGAGCATTGTAATGTTGTGGAGTGACATATCTGTGAAAAATATTTTATATTTAAGTATTGAGCAGTGATTCAATGCAGACTGAGGTAAGATAGAGTAATGCGAAAGTTTGCAACGTGAATATATATTACATGAATTGTTATGTATTTTACCTTACGTCAATATATACCAAATGAATGTAAATCTATGTTTCTGTGCAACCAAAGCCAACATAAAATACAAATGATAAATCTAATCAATACTATCCACCTGTTCCAGAATGTTACTTGGACCACACACAAGCGCCTCGGCAGCAGTGGCCGCGTGGTTGTCTACGTGTTGGAAGAGAGGAGCAGAGGTAGGGGCCGGGCCGAGGTCAAATACAAACTGAAGTATGACTTGCGCAACGTCCTCTGGTTGATCCATCAGTCCTTCAACTGGCTGCTAGTGTGGCAAGGGAGAAGGCTGGAAGCAGGCATTTGGAGGAAGCTGCAGAAACCCTTCTTCGCGATGTCAACTTTTCCTCTTGAGTGCCTTGGTCTTGTGTGCTACGATGAGAAAGCGGCACGGCAGGCGAGGGTATGTAATATTTTACTTTTTCTTCTTCTTCTTCTTTGTATTTTAATTTTCATCATATTCTTTTAGTTACGAAAGGGAAACAGTTTTTTCAGGATATTTTCAGCTCAGTGCCACAAATGGGATGTTTCTCGCTTGACTTGGGACAGAGCTTCCCTCTACCTTATTGAGGATGACCAGCGGCGATTGGAGCCCCGGCGGAGTCGCGTCTCTGCCTATCTTTCTTTAAAATTTTATATGTTTTTAGGGCGGGTGGCCAGACATTTTTTATTCAGATCAGAAGCATTATCCGATTCCGCGAGAATTTTATTGTTGTGAGCAGAGTCAGGCAATTGTTTACTTTTGTTGTAAGCGCAATTTATGTTTTTTTCATGACGATTGATGGTTATGATCGGCAGTGGAAGTTTAAAGAACAAAACGCTCAGCTGTCGCAACCTACCGCACTCATCGAATGAAGTATCGTAATTGCGGAAATATTGGCATCGAGTTCGGGGCTTATGCTGAAAGCGCCCGATACCTGAACCACAATGGAACGCGTCAGCCGGCGGACGACATTCGTACAGCTGACTGCTCTGGTCATTGGCCCCGAGAAAGCGTAACGTCTGCAGTAGAATTGTTTATAAATAAATGTTTTTCTCGCGAACTGCTGCTCGCAGTTAAGCTAAGAAAGCTTCATAATTTGAGGAAAAAGGACATGTTAACAAATTTAATAGTGCGCATTGCGAAACCGCTCTATGGCTTAGGGCGGGTTTCACCACGTCCGATTAAGATTGTTAAGCTAGGCTTTGGCAGAAATAATCATTACATGCAGTGTTGTTTGCCAGCTGTTCATGCACGTTGAAAGAAATTTATTGGTAGAGTGATGAACCTTGTAGAGTTGAAGGGTTCGCTGCAACCAATAATGCGGAGTAGAATAAAAGAAGCATTTCAGAAATAAATCCAGCGCACTGACAAATTGTGTTTTCTTTTTTACATGCTTGGATACAATATTATCTATTGTCAATAATTCTTTACATACTCGAGATCATTTCCTACAACCAACCACTTCTGGCGAAAGAAACTTTTCTGTCAGATGATCGTCAGGTTTGGTGGCAATCATGTGGGTGAGAACTTTATAAATTGTAGGTAGACATGTATTAGGTCAATAACTCTGGGAGCAAGACGCATTTTCATCTTTCGGTAACATGAATGTCACGCCTAAGTTTCTAACTTCTTGCAGCGAAGATGTTTGTTGCAAAATGTTTGGAAATTGACTAGCCAATATTCCAAGAGTGCATGTAAGATATTTCCACCAAACATGGTTTCCATCCTGGAGCTTTCCAATTATGGGTTTTCCATAGAGATTCTTTTGCATCCACTGTTGAAATCACAACTCCATTAATTTCCGGGATATTGTGACTTCTTCCTGTCATATCCAGTACGCTTCATCAAAATATTGCTTTGGGATGGACCATATCTGAGACCAAAAGTTCGTTATGGCAGAAGCACTTGGAGGGTTTATGTCCTTGTCATAAGTACGTCTCGAATCTAAAGCATTTTATAATATAAAAGCATTTTTGGTTGTTATAAAAGAGGGAATTTTCTTTCTTGCGTCGCGCGGATTCATTATACTGTAACGTATTAGCAAACGAAATTGGGGCAGCTATTTTGGGACGCGTGGTAAGGGATTATCGAAACAGGAAACCGCCTTGCCACAGGAGGGAGAGAAGGGTTTTTCCTGAAAGCCAGCACGCGGCAAAGGGAGACATGAGGTTTTGGGGTCCTCAGTTCTTAAGAGCCTGGCCCGAACCCCATGGCGAGGAGAAGGGCGCAGCGGGGGCGGCGTGACGTAGTAGGTCACGTGAGCTTTGAGTCTATAAGGGAGTGCACAGAGCCAGTGGGTGGGTTCTGGAGACAGTGGGAGAACCTCGTGCGAATGCACAAATTTGGCGTCACGACGGTGCAGCGGCGATCAGGGCAAGTCACGTGTTGATGAGCCTGTGGAGGACTTTGTGTCCTTGGGTGACTGCGATCACGTGGGATATATGCTGTGTGCGTGCTCCGAGGAGAGACGTGGTTGAGTGCCACGACTCGCGGCCGATTCTCAATCGGATAAAATCGCTTCTGCGATCGAGGCAAACCATCAGTAGGTACGCCGGTACGGACTTTGTGTCCCAGTGTGACATCCTGTCACGGAAGCTTGGCTTTGTGCGCGCTTCAGCCCTAGGACTGGCGAGTGCCACAATTGAAACCGATCATCAATAGGGTTGGGATCGCTCCCGCGATCAGAGGATAGCAGGCCTATCAAAGCGAGGGTATAAAGTGTAAATTCATTGTAAATATTTGTTGTATTTTCTTTGTGAATAACTATTTGGTATATGAAAGTTCTGTGTCTGTGTTCGCTGTGAGTATCCATGAAGTCAGAATACCTTCTTATTCTTACTCCTAAAGCTACTATCTTGTCTTAATCTCTCATTTTCTACCTTGAGCCTACTTTTCAGGTTTTTTGTTTCTTTGTATCTTCAGTCATCTTCGAATTAAACGAATAGTTACGCGAATCTTGTTTGAAATCCGTCCTTTGTCTCTGAAACACTCAGCGATATGCGAGATATCTGGTCTACCTCGGGCAATTTGAATTTCTATTTTTTTGAACATTTCGGTGGGGTTTGCCTTTCATCAGGCCTCTTATCAAGAGAAGTACCATTTCTCGTCCTTACCATGTAAACGTGGTGTTGACAAGTAGCAATTCTGAATTGCAGCCCAGTGAAATATCCGGTTACATCTTCAAGAGGAGAAGCTTCTGTGATATTTGGGGTAATAATTTGATTAATTTTGCCAACAATCTTATAGACATTAGCGCTGCATTTCAGTTTTAGTACTTTTGGTCTTAGAACTACTGATATTCCTTGTTAGTAAAGATTTGGTACATCATAAATATCTTTAACAGATTTGTCTAGCATTTCTGTTCTAGAGGTTCAACGCTTTCCACCAGAACAGGTAGCACATTTCACACAGCTGCATCGGTGCTAGACACAGATGCTCGGCCTTGCGAAGGCCAGTCGCCAGCGTGACTTCCTTAAAGCATCATTATTCTCTGAGTGGCCCAGATAACTGACGAAAATTCGCTACCCAGGTCAATTTTTTTCGGGGGATCTGATAACTCTCAAATAATGATGAACTCGTGCACCTTCTTCGCCTGTTTACAAAAGTTCCGGTACATGAAGCCGTGGCAGTTATACGTCAAAAATTGCAGAATCGTAGCCAGCCGACGGAATGGGTTGAACTGGCTGCATTCTGCCTAAATTCCACCTTATTTCAGTACCAAGACCAGTACTACGCCCAAGTGGAAGGAGCGGCTATGAGCTCGCCGCTGTCCCACATCGCTGCCAATCTTTTCATGGAAGCTTTCGAATCAGAGGCTCTACGTACGCCTTGCACAAACCGTCTCCCTGGGTGCGGTACGTGGACGACACCTTTCTTATCTGGCCACACGGACCAGAATTATTAGAAGAGTTCTTACTGTTCCTTAACAGTATCCACCAGAGCATCCAATTCACGATGGAGACGGGAATAAACAACTGTCTGCCGTTCTTAGATGTCTTGGTTAGCAAACGCGAAGATGGCACCTTGGGACACGCGGTCTACCGAAAGCCAACGCACACAGACCGATACCTACACGCGGATTCACACCACCATCCTTCAATAAAACTAGGAGTACTGAAGACACTGGCCACAAGAACTGTGAAGGTGTGTGACGAGCGCTCTCTTCCCGCAGAACTTCAGAAGCTCGAACACACTCTTAACCACGCCTGGAAATCCCTTGCTCCATCTATTCGGGACCGGCAGGGGACTGTTCAACACCGTCCGACCACGGGTACATCTGGCGCAAGGCCCAGATTGGCCCAGACCGCCAGCCAATCAGGAAGACCTCTCCGCCAATCACAGCGCACCTGCCCCTCCCGAGAGCCCAGGCAGGATAGTATTAATCACCGGGCGCGTAGCACCGCAGTGTCGAAATGAAACACGGTCAGGTCGCAGCAGCAGGCCGCAGAGCAGCGCCCTTGCAGTGAAGATCTACGTTCGTTACTTCGTCAAGACTTCCTCCCTGCGACTTGTTCGCGAACGGCGCGACAAAGTACCTCGCACGTGGTTGGCCCTGCCTCTTCCACGTTGTGGTCATAAAGTACCGCGCCAGTCTCCCTTCAGCAAGTTCCTTGGCATCTTGTGATTGAGCTACGCTGTCTCGCCGAATCGTTTAGTGGAAAACGGGGGGAAGCAGCGAGAGTCGAGGATTTTCCCCCCGATTGAGCTCTGTCTCGCGGGGCTGAGGCAAAAATGCACGCTAGCCTATGTCTACCATTGAGACAGGCTGCACCCCGGCGCTCAGTCGTTGGGGATAAACCAACCACAACTGAGCAAGGCGCTCCGCTAATGACAGCGTCACCTGTGCGATTTCGAACTCAATTCAAGACGCTGCCCCAGCGCGAATGCCAGCACCGACTGGTGTACCTCCAGCGGCGATGGAGCTGGTAGACAAGCATCCGAAATGGAGTCATCGCAGTTGGTGCTGAAGACATCCCGCTAGAGCAAATGAGAAGTTTATTTTACAACACACGCCGCCAACCGCCACCTCCTCCCAAACCCCGCAGGCGCTGGAAACTAACAGCCGCTGCTGCGCCCAAGCAGCAGCCCAAACAGCGATTCCATAACTGCCGCAGACGTCACGGAGGTGCTTGCCGGTATCCCGCGCAGGGCGTGATCTGCTCCTTCGCCGCCCTAACTATAGAAGGTTTTTGACATACTGGGAGATGTCTCAAGAAGCCGGAGCGGGGAGCAATCCCGCATCTGGGCCGGAGCGAGCTCCTCGCTGGGTATGAACGCGTTCTTGCAGCACCACGGCCCGTGGGCCAACCCTACTCTCTATGTCACAACTGTTGAGCAGCACTCGGCTTGGCCGACCGCGTCTCTCTTTCGAGCAGCGCTTCGCACCCGCTGCTCTTCTATCTTCTCTCTCCGGGAAGCGA